ATTCCTGCTGTTTTTAAAAATCCGTTTTTTTGTCCACATACATATTTAAGCAACATGCCTAGATGCTTATGATTGATGACTGTGGCACTTCTTGATGCTTGTACCTTTCCAATTTGTAGACGCACTTCTTTTATTTTGGTTACCATGTGACTGGCATTGTCTTTTTATCCTTCCATTTTTCATCCTTTCTGTCATTTTGCTTTATATGTGTCTTTGTAAGAAAGCAGGCAAATGGGTTTTGTATTTACTATCTGCTTTTAATAGGTGAATTTAATCCATTTGCATTTATTGTGGTGAATCATAGATTTATTTCAGCTATCTTATTTCATGCCTACTTTTTATTGTATTTGCTTATTTTTGTTAAGTTTATTTTTGCCTTTTGTTGGATTGGTTTCACTTACTTTTTCCTATTTTTCCTCTGCTGCTTAGGAAGTTTGAGGTTTTACTTCTGTTCTACTAGTGGTTATGCTATATATGTACGTGTATGTATACTCATATTTTTCTGTCAGCATCTAGATGTAATCAGGATCATTAGCCTCTTGACAAATGAGGCAAGAACTTTAGTACTTACTTTTTTCCTGGCTCCTACCCTTACACATTGGATCATCATAGATTTTAGTTCCACATTATCATCTATTCTCTTCAAATTATGCAACAACATTTAGTTAAACTTGCCTGTTCTTTTAAAAATGTGTAGAGATGGGGTCTCACTATATTGCTCAGGCTGGTCTCGAACTCCCAGCCTCAGACTATCATCCTACCTCAGCCTCTCAAAGTTCTGGGATTATAGGCTTGAACTTACTGCACTGGCCTTAAACTTAACTCTTATGTTTTGCTGTTTCCTTCTCTTACCACTGTTTGTAGTATCACTCATCTTTCTCTTTCATGGATTTATTTTTTACTTTGTAAGAATTCTTTCAGAAAGCCTGCATGATATAATTTCTAAGACCTTCAATGTCTGAGATGACTATTTTTCCTTTCCATAGGGCCCATTTTGATTTTCAACTCCTTATTATTTTTTTTTAATTTGAACATATTTTAAAATATCCTAGATCTCTAGTTTTTGTTTAGATAATATATACCTTCAAAATCTATAAATATGTGAATTACGATCTTGCCTTAATGTCTTCTGCTTTTTCTTTTTCATTTATTTATTTATTTCTAGACAGAGTTTCGCTCTTGTTGCCTAGGCTGGAATGATGCGATCTTAGCTTACTGCAACCTCCGCCTCCCGGGTTCAAGCAACTCTCCTGCCTCAGCATCCCGAGTAGCTGGGATTACAGGTGCCCACCTCCACGCCCAGCTAATTTTTTGTATTTTTAGTAGAGATGGGGTTTCACCATGTTGGCCAGGCTGGTCTTCAACTCCTGACCTCAAGTAATCTACTCACCTTGGCCTCCCAAAGTGCTGGGATTACAGGTGTGAGCCACCGAGCCCAGCCATCTTCTGCTTTTCAATTCAGGCCTTTCCATCCACACTTCAGCCAAATGCATGCTGTTTCCATCTCTTTTATTAATTGCAGTTCTGAGTGGAATTCTTTTTTTTTTCCTAAGAAAAAAAGGCTGCAGTCCCTCTAGTTGAAGGTGTGGTCTTCCTGCTCCCTCCTGGGAAATACAGGGGAAACTGCCTGGTCCTTGGCTGTAGGTCCTGTCTTCTGACCTCTTCATTTCACATCCAGATGAAGTAGTTCTAGGATATAAGAGCTGTAAGGATATCTACTGGTCCCGGAGCCCCGCCCCTCATTTCCTACATGAGACTGAGGTCCAGGGAAGGAGCAGAAGTAGCCATGAGCTGCTTTTATGCCCTGGGCACCTCTTGGGTCCTCGTGTCCATCACTGGCCCCTCTGAAGTGCCGAATGACTCCAGGGGATGTCCAGCAATGATGGGCTGTGGGGACAGGCTACTTTCTTGGGTACTGTGTAAAGGTGCCTGCCTAAGGAGATGTGGATTCCCAGGCGTCCCCAGATAGCTTGTCCTGTGGCTTTCCTTGCCGTCTATATACTGGCAACTCCCACATCTGTATCTCTTGCCCCCTCTTCTCTTCCCTATGTCTGACTTAAGTCCCCAGACACCTTTTGGAAGTCAAACATGGTGTCTAATAGGCTCTGAAGCCTGTGTCAAAACCTGAGTCCCCCAAACCCTGTTTCTCACCCAGACTTCCCCACCTCAGCATCTGACATCACTATTCCCCCAGACACTCAGGCCAGAAACAGGCATCATCCTCAGTGCCTCTTTCTCTCACCTCTCTATCCCCGCACTTTCCTCCAGAAAGCTCTGCTCCTGTTGACTCTGTCTTGGAAAGTGGCCCTGGTCTGGTCACTTCCCGCAGCACCCACTCCCCGCCCTCGGCTCTACCAGTGTGTGTTGCCTGGATTCTTGTGCTAGCCTCCTCACTGGGTCCCTGCTTCCGCTCTTGCTCTGTTTTCCTCAGCAGCCAGAATGAACTTTTCAAGATGTCCTCCAGAGCATGCTGTTCTTTTCCTTTCTTTTTCATTTTTTAAAATGTTTTCGAGATAGAGTTTCGCTCTTGTCTCCCAGGCTGGAGTGCAGTGGTGCTATCTCGGCTCACTGCAACCTCCGCCTCCTGGGTTCAAGGGATTCTCCTGCCTGAGCCTCGTGAGTAGCTGGGATTATGGGCGCTTGCCACCATGCCTGGCTAATTTTCGTATTTTTAGTAGAGACAGAGTTTCTCCATTTGGCCAGGCTGGTCTTGAACTCCTGACCTCAGGTGATCCACCTGCCTCGGCCTCCCAAAGCGCTGGAATTAGAGGCTAATCCTGCATCTTCAGTGGATCAGGTGCATCGGGTGGATCACCTGAGGTCAGGAGTTGAAGACCAGCCTGGTCAACATGGGGAAACCCCATCTCTACTAAAAATACAAAAAATTAGCTGGGCATGGTGGTGGGCGCCTGTAATCCCAGCTACTCGGGAGGCTGGGGCAGGAGAGTCGCTTGAACCCAGGAGGCGGAGAGGTTGCAGTGAGCCAACCACACCTGGCCAGAGTATGCCATTCTTTCACGCAAACTCTCCAGTGGCCCCTGTCTTGCTTAGAACCAAGCGAACCTTACACAGTGTGGCAGGCCCCACCGTCTGCCCCCACCTCCTCTCCATCCTTCACACGCCCTTCACTCCCCTTCTTGCCCTTGCACGCCTCCACCTTTGAGCCTTCGAATTTGTTGTGTTTCCTCTGCCTGGGGTGCTCTTCCGCTAGGCCATGTGGCTCCCTCCGGCCCCTCATTTAGTCACTGTTCAAATGTCACCTCCTGATAGTGGTCCTCCTTCCCTATCCAAAATGACACCAACTTCTGCCAGTGACCCTCAGCCAACTATATCATTCTTCACACTGTGTATCTATCTCCACTCAAATAACAGCCATTCATTTGTTGATCTGTCTCACTACTAGATGGTGAGTCCCATAAAAGCAAGGATTTGGTCTCATTTGCCTTCTGTCCATAGGGCCTAGAACACTTCTGCCACCCAGCAGGCACTCAGACATTCCTTAAATGAATGAATAAGAATGGACAGACTTCACATTTATTTTTCATTCAGGTACTATTTGGGGCTACTTTTTGGCCAGGCCTTGAGTAGACAGGTGACTGGCACAGACCTGCCATTACCCCTGGGAGCTAACAGTCCTGCTGGGGACAACTACACGGGCGGCCAGAAGTGTTCCCGGAGGCATTGGCATGGGGCTGGCGTCAGTCCTGGGGCTCCAGCAACAGCCAAGTCAGAGTCCACTCACCAAAGCCAATAGAGAAGGGGAGGGAAGGGGAAGTTGGAGGAAAGCGTCCTGGGCTGCAAGGGTAGCCAGAGCGGGAGGGAAGACCCCGGTGAGGATGGCAAGCTCACAGCAGACCCTCCCATAGGGCTTTTGTGCCAGGCACTGCACAGAGGGCATTACATCTATTAACTGAAAACTACCTTGACCATCCCTATTTTAGGAAATGGTGGCACAGAGAGGGTAGCTTGCCTGGGGTCACACCCAGGCATGAGGAGCCAGACTGCCCAGTGGGCTGGCTCCAAAATCTGTAACCAGCCGCTCCCCTGCCTCCCGGGAGAGGGGGAAAGTGGATCTGGTCAGACAGTAGGGGGACTGGGAAGATGCAGGGGAGGCTAAGCCATGAGCAGGTGCTTGGAGGATGCTGCAGGTTCAGACTTCATTCTCCTGGAGGGCAGGAAGGGGTCAGGCCTGCACTGCTAAAAGGAACCCCACCTGCCTACTGAGCTGTGGCTGTGAGCAGAGGGATGAGACTTGCCCTCCGCAGGAAGGAGGCTGGAGGAAGGTGGGGGCGAGGAGCGCGAGCACTTGGGCAGGAGTAGTTGAGGGGATGGATGGGTTAGGAGGAAGAGCTTCTAGTTCCAGCCTGGGAGGAAATGCCCTGGCTGTGAGGGGCCACTCCTCCCCCAGGGTCTCCCTGGTATCTGTCCCCTTGGGGGCTGAGACGCCCTTCCTGCCCAGATGGCCTCTTCAGGGCATTCCCCAAGGCATGTCCATAAATAAGCTCTCCTGCCCTAGGGCGTACAAGGTAGAGGCACTGTTTTCATCTATATAGGAGGAAAGGGGAGGCTCAGAGAGTCAGGCAACCTCCCAAAGAGTCACAGTTTATAGGCCTTGCAGCAGGGATCCAAGCCCAGGTCTGGCCAGAGGGATTATGTAGCACATAATGATGTAGTTCATCACTGACTTCATGAGGCGCCTCTGTAGATCAGAGAACTTAGGCCCAGTAAGCACATGGGGTGAAATTGGAGGAGAAGGGTTTGGTGGGTCCACAATAAGTCACAGCTTCACCCTGAAGCAGGCTTCAAGGTGGGGGCGGGGGGGCTTCAGCTGGGACCCTTCGAGCAGCCCCAGAGAAAGAGCTTGTGTAGCCTCTCGTGGGACAGCTTGGACTGAGCCACGGTAGGGACAGCAGCAGCAGTGTGGGAGTCTGGGAGTCTGCAGGCTGTGGGGGCTGCAGGGTGGATGAGGACAGCCCCTGAATGGCCTCATCCCACCCCAGTTTTGGACACAGCCGGGCAGGAGGAATTCAGCGCCATGCGGGAGCAGTACATGCGCACGGGGGATGGCTTCCTCATCGTCTACTCCGTCACCGACAAGGCCAGCTTCGAGCACGTGGACCGTTTCCACCAGCTCATCCTGCGTGTCAAAGACAGGTGAGCATCAAACACAGGTGAGAGTACTGGGAAGAGGCCTGCGCCTGCCTCCTAGGGCGCGCTCGCTTTCGCGCTTCTCTCTCTCTCAATCTCTCTCTCAATCTCTCTCTCTCTCTCTCTCTCTCTCTCTCTCTCGCCCCTAATTAAAGGCTTGGATTTTTTTAAGCCTTATGTGGAGTAATTAAATAATTTGAAATTTGGTTTATACTCATTTGGTCTTGTTGAGTCTCAAAGAGGCTATGTAATGAAAATAAAAACACAAACTAATAGGAAAAGAACAATATTTGAGTAAATTCCATTAAAGACAGAGAAAAATCTAGCTAACATGTATTCCAAAGAGAAAGTGTTAATCAGTTTACCAGGTAAAGGGCCACATGTACATACACATAAAGTTCCCACAGATGACCGTGGGTTTTACTCTGAATACATGAATTGCAAAAGAAAAAACAAAAATGGCTCAGATGTGGGAAAATATTCAACTTTCTTGCTAATCAAATAAATATAAGGAAGATAGTAAAGTACCATTTTTCACCTGTCAAATTATAATTTTTAAAAATGGAAATACCCAATGCTGCCAAAGATGCGGTAAGATTGTCATTTCATTCAGTTTTGGACAAAATTTGGCCCATGTCAATAAGAATCTTTACGGTGACCATGCCTCTTGATGCCCTCTGCTGGGAGCCATCCTAATTGTGCAGCTGGTTGTGTGGTTGGTACATCTGAGTGACCCAAGAGATGGGAACCAGGTCTGGGGAGCCAGCCCCTGACCAGCAGCCCCTCGAGGCCTCACCATTGGCCTTGCAGTGGACCTGAGGCTTCAAGCCAAGACAGCCAGCAGCCCCCAGGCCCTTTCCCCTAACCCTAACCTCTCTCTGGAAAGGAGGAGGGAAGGGACTGCAGTCCAGGCTGACTGGGGAGGTGCTGTAGGCTGACTGTGCTATGCCTGAGATGTGGCTGCGCCACCTTAACTAGGTGTGAGGGGTGGTGGAAACCTCACAGAGCTGCTATTCCTTTGTTTCCCAGGGAGTCATTCCCGATGATCCTCGTGGCCAACAAGGTCGATTTGATGCACTTAAGGAAAATCACCAGGGAGCAAGGAAAAGAAATGGCGACCAAACACAATGTAGGTGTGTGCGTGTGTGTAGAGGGGGTCAGGAGATGTGTAAAAGCTGTTGCCTGGTCACCCCTGCAGTCCTGGTCTTTGGGAATGAAACTATTGTTTATTGAAGGGCTCCCCTTAGTTTAAGTCTTGTTGCTGCTGAAATCCTGCAATTCCAGGAATCCAGGTAATGCACATCAGTGTTTCTTCAGTGGTAGAGGCAGATCCCCTAGAAAGAAAGTAGAAGGTGTCTGGGACCTGGGGGGGATCATACAACTCAGGGACTTCTGAGCGATGGGGTGGGACCACAGGTGGCAGTGGTCTGAGGCCCTGGAGCCTGGGCCATTACTGAGCCGGCAGGAGTACAGGATGTGAAGGGGCTCCAGGTAGGTCCCAGCTCAAGTTGCAGTGCCTTCCTGCCTCCCCTGGGTGTGTGCGGGGAAGCACGTTGTCCTGACTCACAAGGGCCCCGTAGGACTGTACTGGCCACTTATCAGGGGCACTTGCCATGGCTGGATTTGGTGTCCAGCCGGAAGAGGCTCCAAAGCAGACCTCAGCACCTCTTACCAGGGCCAGGAGAAAGTGGAAAGTGTGCCCGGTTCAAACCCTGATGCTCTGCCGGCTGCTGTTGACCTTGAGCAAGTGCGTCACTCTGAGCTCAGTCTCCTGAGCTGCAGAATGGAGATACTTGCTTACCTCAGAGGGTTAATGTGAAGACTAAATGAGGTCAGGGATAGTGAGACCTGGAAAGCCAAACAGCCCACAATGAAGAGCAGTTTCCATTTAGTGTTATCAGAGGCTCAAATATTTGTCCAATGAATATTTCAAAGGCTTAAGCTCTGCCTTTTGTGCTCTGCCCTTTGTGTGTCTGTTGGCTACAGCAGAAGTGTGCACATCTGACCTCACGTGATGATGATGGATGGGAAGATACTGACTGGTTTGTGTTCTGGGCAGTGATTTACAATCTACTCCTCTAGAACAACAGCTTACCCTGTCACCCTCCTCCATGCATTTGAAGTGTTATTTTTCTTTTCCCCACTGTGCTTTTCTTTTTCCAGCATATTATAATGAAAGGCATTAATTTTGTAATCAGAAAAAACTTATGAAAAATCACCAAGTTATTCAGTCTAATCACACTCAGTTTACTTCCATCTGTCTCATCAAGCGAGGCCTGTGTGTTCCCCACCCTGCTCCCCGCCTTTGGGGAACGAACACTTCCTGCCTTGGCGGGGTCCCTGCTGTAGGAGAAGGTGAGCGCTCAGGAGTGAGTGTGTGCTGACCTCATAGAGTCTTTGTTCTCCTCCCTCTGCCAGCCCGAGGCTTGGTGCAGATCTGGCCCTGGAAACCTGCTCTGTGGGGCCACCATGGTCACATCTCCCGCTGTCTGCACCTTTTCGGCCGGGTGATGATTTCTCAGCATTGAACGTGCAGACAAAAACCTTGTGTAAACATGGCTGAGCTCCTAGGCTCATAGATACAGACCAAACAAGAGCTGGGCCGGGGTGGGGGCCAGCACAGATGGGCCAGGGTCACCTGGGCCCAGAGTCTTGGTCATGGCCCAGTCTCTCCTCAGCCTTTTCTACCAGTGTCCACTCTGGAGGGGCCCAGAAAGAGGGGCAGAAGTCATCCCAAGGTGGAGAAACAGACCTCAGAAAGAAAAATGGGTAGAATCAGAATGTATTTTAGTTTAATAAATGAAACAGTTTTTCATCTTCAAGTATGTAAAAAGATCACTTTATTCTATTTTTAGGGAGCTATTAAGTATCTCTGTGCCTAGAGAACAAGAGGGAATTGGAAAAGCCATTAGTAACACTTTCCAACCTGAAAGAGTGAGAAGCCCCAAGTGATGCCTGAGGCTGTTGGGGGCTGGGGCTTCTGTGGCGTGTTTTGAAAGCACCTGGGTTCCTCAGAACCTCTGAGCATTTTTAAGGGTGGAACGGGGCTTTGAGGATCTCTGTGCCACTTTGACCAAGTTGAGCTTTGCCTTCCAGATTCCGTACATAGAAACCAGTGCCAAGGACCCACCTCTCAATGTCGACAAAGCCTTCCATGACCTCGTGAGAGTAATTAGGTGAGCACTGCCCCCTCCCTAGAAGCGGGCCTCCACAGCATGGGTTGGCTCCTGGAGGCAGCTGGGAGCTTGAGGAAGCAGCTCCTCTTCTGAGGCCATGAGACTGTAGAATTCTGGGCCTATGTTTGGATTTCTTGTCCCTCCTTCCGTTTCTTTCTTTTGCTCTTTCCACCCACCTCTGCCCTCCCCACAGCTGCTGACGGGTTTGTGGGTGAAGTCTGCTGCACGTGCTAAGTGGAAATGCCTTCCTGTCTGAGGCAGCGGCTCAGGCTCCCTGGAAGGCAGCTCCCTGCAGCCTGGCTTCAGTGTTCTCCTCACGCCAAAGCTTTCAACACCGTACAAACTAGGTCTCTCTCCTCTTCCATGTCCTGATATCAGAGCACCCTTTGATATTTCCCCTGAACAACCAATATTCTGATTCCAAGGTTCAAATTTCAGAGGCATTGCACACGTATCTCCTTTCCTGACCCCATCAGCTGTCAATCTCCAAGTATTGTCAGCAATCCTAATGAAAGTTTCTTGTACATTCCTTTGCATGGTCAGGGTCCAGATCTTAATCACCTCATGCACTCATGACTAAAACAGCCTCCTGGCTGCATCTCCTGTCACCAATCTATCGCATTTCCCAACTCTTCAACATGCACAGCAGCCTAACCAGTGGGTCTCAGACACTGTGCGTTGAGTTTGTGGCCTGTATGCTGGCGCCTCCAAGGGCTGCTGGTGAGCTGTGAGATCAGCCCCGGGGCTGTAACCCCCACTATACACACATCCCCCAACATGCTTAAAAAGCTCATCTTCTCATTATTCCCCAGCATAATGAGGAAATATTACAGTCTTCACTTTATGTTCTGGCTGGCAGTTTTGCACTCTCAAAATGATTTTCTCATCCAGGTGTGGTGGCTCATTTCTGTAATCCCAGCACTCAGAGGCAAAGGTGGAGGTGGAGGAAAGAGGATTGCTTGAGGCTAGGAGTTCAAGACCAGCCTGGGCAACATAGTGAAGTGCCATCTTTACAAAAGGAAAGAAACTATTTTATCTTAGGCATTTTGCCTCCAATTAGGACGTGCTGCCATCAGGTAGCCTATGGTGATGTCTTGGTTGTGAACCAGTAGTGCCAAGGTCAGGTTTTAGACATAGGAAAAGTTAACAGAAAACATGAAATGGCTTTTATGCTTAGTTGACCCATCATTTTATTTAAACTATGAAACACAGAAATAGAAACCAGCACTCTATGAGACAAATCGTGATGTAGCTTACGATTTATGTAAATGTAGCCACAACATAATGTCAGTCATTCCCATCAGTAGGGCGATTTAGGTTATCCCCTCCCCTGTCTCCCTGTTTCATTGCCTCAAGAGAAGCTATCCTGCCAGGCTATCCAGTGGCCAGGACAATCACTGGGTGAGGCATGGCATCCCCATCCCCTCACCCACTAACCCTGCCACAACAGGCCTCCTCTGCCTCAGATCTGGGGCTAGGGAGGAGAGGGGCAGAGGAGAAGCAAAGCCCATTCTGACTTTGTCTTTCTGTCCTTCATTGTTTCAAAAGGCAACAGATTCCGGAAAAAAGCCAGAAGAAGAAGAAAAAAACCAAATGGCGGGGAGACCGGGCCACAGGCACCCACAAACTGCAATGTGTGATCTTGTGACAGGCCTGAGGCCCTGGGCACAGTGACTGTGGCCTGGCCATCCCTCGGGGCCCCTCCCCACCTAACTGCACTGAAACCATTTCTAACCACAACCCTTGGCCCAAGGACCTCGTACAGGAAGGGAGAAGGGTGAGTGGGCAGGGAGCAGACAGGGTCTGGCTTTGCTCAGAGGGCACGGGCTTTCCCACCTCTCACAAGAAGCAAGGAAGCCGCCTGTGAGCAGAAGCAGCATCCCAGTGCCCCTGGCCTCCCCATGTGTTGATTCAACCCAGTTCCTGCCCCTCTCTCGGTGGGTGTGCTGTTTCTTGTAACTACATAGTGTTGGTTTGATGTGGAAGTGTTTATCCACATACAAAGTACAAAACAAGCCATGAACAAGCTTCTTCCCCTTACCCCCCATCCACAGTGTCTGAGCTTGGATGTCTTTTATAGATTTTTAAATTATTTTAGTGATTGTTATTTTATTAAAGGGGTCTGGGCTCACTGCCTCGTGAAGTTTCAAGTGTTCAGCAGACCTCTCTGGTAACATATCTGGAATATTGTTGTTTTTTAACTGAGTTTTCCCATCAGTGCCAAAACTCAACTCAATCTGAAAGTAGAGTGACTGAGAGGACAGAAGTGAATGGGAACTGTAGCTGGAAGCCTCAGGCCATGGGTCAAACCTGGGAGGGAAAGAGACCCTACTCATGGCCTAGAAATGAGAGAAGAGAGAGGTATTTACCCAGAGGGTTTTCCTATGGTTGGGGATGCAAATATTAGAAAACAGATTGTATTTTGCTGAAGGGAGTGGCTGTCCTGAGCATGTCAGTTCTAAAAGGGGTTTTCATTATCTTGGAAATGTATAAACTAAAGTAAGCTGATTGGCTTTGCAAACGTGTTCATTTGTTTTTCAGACAGTATGGGTTAAGTTCTCTGCCCTCCCCAGGGGTCTGAGGAGGCTCTGGGTTTCTCAGATCTGTCTCTTGCTGCTTTTTCACGTTGGCTGTGCTGCTTGGTGCCTCTCTGATATGAACACACTGACACGTCAAAGTAACCTAATGTGGACACCATGCAGAAAACTCCAGTTCATGCTGGATCTTAACCAAAAACGATTCAATACTCTTATCACTAAAACAGCACCAAGACCTGAAGCCATCTTCCCTTGGAGTTAACTGACTACCACTTCTGTAAGCCCAGTCAATGAGCAGACCCCTTCCAGTATTTGTAAAAGTAGTGCTGGTTGCCTTTTTGGCAATTTTTATTGACCTGTTGAATCTTGACTATAATATGATCTGACAAGTAAGGAAGGCTGGGCTGATGTGTGGCTCTCATACACCTTCCACAAGGGGGCAGTCTCCCCAGCTCCCTGATGATGCTCAACCCGCCCCACCCCCGCACAGGTGCTGCTGGTGTGAGCCAAAGACTGGAGTTTTTCCAGCTGGGGTGGGAGTGGAGTGACAACAGGAACAACGGTGTACCAAAGAAAAGGTCAGAATATAAGGCAGCACAGCTGGTGACCTTATTTTCTAGATGTTACAAATCAGGTCACTATGCAAACTAGAATATCCTCAGCAGGTGGCCTGGCCACTCTGGAGAAAGAAACCCGAGGAAAGTGAGCACCCACCCGGATGCCAGGACACCTGGGTTCTGAAAATGCGCCGTGTTCCCACCTCGGCAAGATCACCAGCACTGAGGGGCCCAGCTGGAGAGTGATTCTGCTACAAAAGGAGATAGTTGAGACTTTTGTTTGTTGGAAATCAAACTTCTTATTTGACTAAATTGCCCCTTTTTCTGTTCCTAAAAGGAAGGATAAGAGAGAACATTCCAGATGAGGCACTTCAGAGTTTCCTTAGATCCTATAATGTTAAGAGATATTTTAAACACTAAAAGGACAAAGCTCTTCCCAATCCTTATGCTTCCCTAAGTGGCATCTGCAGCAGGTACGTGTGTGTTTGATGGCAGCTGCAAACTGGAGGCGAGGCGGAGGAAAGGCAGGCAGGAAGAAGTGAGGATGGAGATGCTCAGAACTGAGAGCATGGCGGAGTAGGAGAAGAAGCCCTGCACACAGGGCGGTGTCCACGGCCAGAAAACTCCTGCTGGGCACCAACCACTACGAGCGTAACCCATACCCACCATGGAGCTCCCACTCCTCGACGGCACTGAGTGGGGTAGTCTCACTGGAAGCAGATCAGCTGACATAGAAGAGAGACCTTGGCCATAAAGGTGAGAAGACAGGCATTTCAACCACATGGTTGGGACAGAAGGGACAGTGCATCTGTTCATCCATCCTGCTCTTGGCTCACAGTTGAACTCCATAGTGCCTGAGAGAGACTAGTTAAGGGTTGGTCTTCTGTAGCCTCTGCTGTTGAGCCTCTGGTAAGCTTTCATCTCCCATGAACTCATTTCCCCATAAGTGAAATGAGTAAATAATGCCCCATTTGTAGAAGTGGGCCCTCATGACTGAGGTAGCTTCCAGATAGGCCAGAGTAAAGTGTAGAGTGTGCCCCGTGGCATCCCTCCATCATCTTCTCCATCATCATCTACCAGGGTCAGACTGGGAAACCTGGTTGGCCACGCCACACCATGACCGAGGAGCCAACTGGGACTTGTGGCTGTTTGACATCCTCATGTTCCCATTGGTCTTCCGGAGAATAGTGCTACCCTCACATCTCCTGGAGCACAGCCTTCCTGAAATGTCCTCACCCCATGCCTTTGCCATTGTGTGCTCTCAGATTTCCTCCACTATTTGACACCCTTTTTAGAGGGCTGCTTTTTTTTCCAGAGATAATCCTAGCCATCCTCTCCACTCGGGCTATGGCCACTTACTACCCGTGCACTTTGCCACACAGGGGACACCTGGATGGTTTCTCTTAGGACTTTTCCCACCTCCTTCTCATGACATTTGCTGTGGAGAATGCCTGGCTGGCCTCCTGGGGCCTGTCTCGCTTTGCCAGGAGACATGACCCACTAACGTGGCAACTCTAACCCAAAGGCCCCTCAGACATTACAGCAAATCCGGAGCCACAGACAGGTTCCCTGCATTGGTAGCCCATCGTGTTAGAAATTCCATGTCGAGTTTACTTGGAATGAAAGATACTTGAATTATTGTGCGCCCGGGAGTGCCCAGCTTCTGTTTCATAGTCTTAACAGGTGGCCATTGTTGTGAAACGAGAGTGATGCCTGAAGATCTCAATGATATTTGAGCCTTTTATGTAACTTTCTATTAAGTCTTTGTATATCTCGACTGATTAATAAAGAAGAGAAACACATACCTGTCTTATTTCCTTTTACTCCAATATTCCTGAAGTTTTGCTGAGAACATTGTGAGTTGTTGGTGTTTTGCCCGGAACATCCACCTCTTACAGAGCATGACCTTGGTCCTAACCAGATCTAAAGTAAGGAGGAGCCCACTGGTGGCCATGGGGTGTCTCCTTCCTGCGCAGAGCCGAAGGATGAAGGCAGGCTAGCACAGCATTTAGAGGCACTGCCTCTTGATGCTGGGCAGATCTGGATTTTAGCCCTGCTACTGACCTTTGTGTGCCTTTGGGCAAATGACCTGCCTTAGTCTTAAGCTGCCCTGCCTGTGAATGGGACAATAATGTGCACCTCGAAGTAGCTGGAGGACTAAAGCTAATGTAGGACTGTGGTGAGGAGCCCAGAAACGGTGCTCTTTGTCCAGGACACCTATTGGATTATCTGCCTGACATTCCTTTTCATGGAAACTGCCCTCTTCCCCCATCCTTGGGGTTACAGTCTTTGGCACAATGTGATTTCACTTCTTTGTTGATTAAATACGGCGGGTACTTGGCCAACTTGAACCTCTCAGGCTCCGTTTTCCAGGGAATACAAGCCAAAACCCTCTCTTGGTAGCTCTTATGGGCAACTCTAGCTGAAACATGTAAACCTGGGTGCTGGAGGATGCTTCTCATGCCCTCTGGGCTGGAGGCAGAGAAGGCTAGACTGCAGACTGTGGGGAGAGGCGATGTAGTGGACCACTCAGGCCTGTCTTCCTGCCCATTCGTTCTTTCCACAAATATTTATTGGGCACTACTGTATGCTAGGCGTTGGGGTGGGTGCTGGGTATATGGTAGTGAACAAGGCAGTGGGTCTTAGGAACTGGTAAGTCAGTTCTTTCTCCTCTAGTTCTATATTAGTTTCATGTGGCTATTGTAACAAATTACCACAAACTTAGTGGCTTAAAAGAGAAATGTATTCTCTCACAGTTCTGGAGACCAGAAATCAAAACTCAGTATCACTGCCCTGAAATGAAGGTGCCAGGAGGGCCTTCGCTCCTTACCTCTCCCAGTTTCCGGTAGCTGCTAAAATTCCTTGGCATGTGGCTCCATCACTCCAGTTTTGGAGGCCAGCACCTCCATATCTTTTACTTCTCCATCTTCACATTGCCTTCTCTGTGTGTGTCAAATCTCCCTCACTCTCAGTTGATACTTCTTCCATCACTGCATCACTGAGAAGGTTGAAAACAGCTGAACAGAATTTCCACAGACTTCTTTCACCCTCTCTGCCCCCTCTGCAGCATCTGCACCCACCTGCTCTGCCTTCTTAGTTGTTAGTGATGAACCCTCCATGCTCCTGGCTGAAGCCAAGCCCCTTCCTCGAGCAGTAGCACATACCAGGCATTATCCTGGCCTCTCACCCCTCCTCTGTAACACCAATTTTCCCCTCTACTGGATCTTTCTCATCTTAAAGAAAAACAAAACCTTCTTTTGACCCACTTCTTCAGCCAGATACCACTTGATTCTCTCCTCTCTTTTGTAAGAAACCATCCTTTTTTTTTTTATTATTTTTTTTTTGAGACAGAGTCTTGCTCTGTCGCCCAGGCTGGAGTGCAGTGTGATGATCTCAGCTCACTGCAACCTCCATCTCCCAGGTTCAAGCGATTCTCCTGCCTCAGCCTCCCAAGTAGCTGGGACTACACGCATACACCACCACACCCAGCTAATTTTTGTATTTTTAGTAGAGATGTGGGGTTTCACCATGTTGGCCAGGCTGGTCTCGAACTCCTGACCTCAAATGATCCACCCACCTCTGCCTCCCAAAGTGCTGGGATTACAGGCGTGAGCCATCACACCCAGCCCAGCAAGAAACCATCTTAAAAGCAATCTATGCTCACTGTCATGCATTCCTCTCATTTCTTTCTCTTTAAACTGCTCCAGGTAAGCTTTCACCTGCCACTACATCACCACCACCATTCTCCAAGTCACCGGTGAATGGCCTCCATTTGGCTAAATTCAAAGACTGGTTCTCAGCCTTTTCATACTTGAGCTCCCTGCAGCAGTAACACAGTTGAACACCCGCTCTTCCTCGTGAGACTTCCACTGGCTTCTAGGATGCTGCCATCTTTTAGTTTTTCTCCTTCACTGGTCACTTCCTTCTTAGTCCTTATCTTCCACCTAATCTGTTAACTTTGGAACACCCCAGAGCTTAGCCCTTGGTCCTCTTCTCTACCTACACTCACTTTCTTAATGACCTCATCCAGTCTTGAGGCTCAGATGCCTTTATCTGCTGTGGGCCTCCAGTTGTACCTCTCCAACTTGAAACTCTCACAAGTCCCACTCATATATCCAGCTGCCAAATTGATATCTCACTTGGATGTGTCAGGTACCCAGTCTCAAAAGTTAACAAGTCCAAAACGGAATTCCTCATTTTCACCCTCCCATACCTGCATCACATGTAGCCTTCCCCAGCTCAGCTCATGGCAACTCCATGCTTCCTGTTACTCAGGCCAAAAACTTTGGAGTTATCCTTCGTTCCTCTCTTTCTCCTGCATCACACACTCAACAAATCTCTGTTGACTCCAAAATATATCCAGAATCTGCCCATTTCTTGTCACCTCCACTACTAACATTCCACCCTGAGCTGCCATCTTTCATGCCTATTTCATTCTTGTCTTTTTGCAGTTCATTCTCAACACAGCAGCCAGGAAATTTTTGGTAAAATGGAAGTCAAATTATGTCTCTGCTCTGCTCAAACCTCACACCCCGGTGGCTCCTCCATCTAATTTTTAAGATGTGTCAGAGTGGGCTATGCCACTGAACACTTAGTAATGGGCTGATGTTTATTAGCCACAAAAAAAGGATGGTCGAACATGTCCGTTCGTTCAGGCAGCACACACTTACTGAGCCCTGAGCCCCACATCAGGACTACAGAGAACATTAAAACCTGTGCCACACAGGGGTTCCCAGCCTCATGAGGATGATGAGCTGTGGGGATCTGTGCATTAAGAGGAATGCTCTGACCTGGAGGAGCTCCCATAAATCTTGGTCCCTTATAATCCTTGTACTCAGTAGATGAAGGGGGTGTTCATTGACCAGATGAAAATTTTAGCCACATTTTGGGCCCACTACTTCCGTTACTTTTGAAGATTGAAGGTTTCCCTTTCTCAAGGATCCCAGATTCCCAGGTCCATACCAGGACTATTTTAAAGTCCTCTTTCATCTCCGCACACTTCTAAAGAGGCTGTGAACCGAAGTTCCCATGTGTCACAGATGTCAGCATTGTCATCACCCAGGAGCTTTCTGGAAATGCAGAGTTTTGGGCCCTGTCCCAACCTGCTGAGTCAGGATCTGCATCTTAACAAGATCCAGGAGAGTTGCGGGCACAATGAAGACTGAGTAGCCACTGGCCCAGAACATCAGGCCTGGAATCGAAATGAAATCCAGCCCTGGACTCACTGTTCCTCAAGATCTGGTTCAGCTTCATCCAACCAGAGGAAGCTTCATCTGCATTCATTTGATGACAAAAAGTTCACTCCTCTGCCTTTAACAGCTGCAAGAGTCTGCCCAGCGAGGAGGAGGCAGTGAGCTTCAAGTGCCCGCCCACGGTCAGCTTCCCTTAATTATGGGAAGTTTTCACACAGAGGCAAGTGGGCTCCCAGTGTGCTTCTCCAACACTTGCATTTTGGTTAAAATGTGCACAACTATGGTAAATGTAAAGAACAAGAAAAAAATCTAACTGCCGAGAACTCTTAGGGACTCTGAGTCCCTAAGCACTCGGAAAGGTGGGCTAATCTGTGCAAGCTGGATTTTCACTTAGCATAGCTGCTGGGCTTCCGCATCATCCCAAATAGCTCATTACCATGCTAATATGGAAATTTAAATATAAAAAAGGAAAGCTGGGTTTATACCAAGGCAAGAACTGACAGATGCTTTCAGTGGAATGTACATCCTGGCAATTATGTGCTAAACCATTAGCTCTGACTCAAATCCAGCTTCCTAGTCTGTCATCAGCCCTACGCCTGGGCTAATGAGCAGAGGTGAAATCATTGGATAAGTGGCTCTCAAAATGTGACCCTCAGACCAGCAGCTTCTGTATCCGGGGAGTTTGCTAGAAATGCAAGTTATCTGGTCCCACCCCAGACCTAATGAATCAGAAATTCTGAGGTGAGGCACAGCAATCTGTGTTGAACAACCTTCCCAGGAGACTCTGTTGCACCTTAAAGTTTGAGAACCACTTAATTAGATAAATTTAGGTAAAAATAAAAGTTCTTACCCCAGGAAGGTAAATTGCGGCTGGGCTTGTTCTTATCTACAAGACAGCTGCTGGCTCTCTGGGCAAAGTTGTCCGGGTACTTCTTCCTTCCTTCATCTGATTCATGAGGACCCCTCAAGGTCTGGAACTGTTATCGGAAAGGGGTTCTGATCCAGACTCCAAAAGAGGGTTCTTGGATCTTGCACAAGAATTCAGGGCAAGTCCATAGAGTAAAGTGAAAGCTAGTTAAATAAGAGAGTAAAGGAATAAAAGAATGGCTACTCCGTAGGCAGAGCAACCGCAAGGGCTGCTGGTTGCCCATTTTTATGGTTATGACTAAATGTGTAACCCACATGACTCCCTCTTCTCCACCCTTGCTGTGGTTAACACCCCCTGCCTCTCTGGCCCTCAACACCCTGGTACAAAACCAGCGAAGAGCAGAGAAAATTCAGGGTGCTGTGGCAGCTCCAGGACTACTTGGAAACCCATCGCTAGGATGGGAGCCCAGCTGGGCAATGGGAGCAGAGGAGAGACGGGAGGGATGTCAAAAAAGCACTTGAAGGCAAATGCCATCGACTTGAATTTGAATTTGTAACCACCTAGACCAGTCGTTCGCAACTCAGACTGTATAACAGAATCACTCAGGGAGCCTGGAAAATAATTCTGCTGCCCGGACCACTCCTTCAAAGAGTCTGGTGCCGTTGGTCTAGGTTGGGGCCTGGACATCAAGACTTTAAGGCTTCCCAGGTGATTCTGCTGTGCAGCCAGAGCTGAGACCAC